TATGAGTATGTATAGATGATGTATATGGTGTTATGAGTATGTATAGATGATGTATATGGTGTTATGAGTATGTGTAGATGATGTATATGGTGTTGTGTATATATAGACGATGTGTATGGTGTTATGAGTATGTCTAGATGATGTATATGGTGTTATGAGTATGTATAGATGTATATGGTGTTATGAGTATGTATAGATGATGTGTATGGTGTTATGAGTATGTATAGATGATGTATATGGTGTTATGAGTATGTATAGATGATGTATATGGTGTTATGAGTATGTATAGATGATGTATATGGTATGTTATATATATGATGTATATGGTGTTATGAGTATGTATAGATGATGTATAGTATGTATAGATGTATATGGTGTTATGAGTATGTATAGATGATGTATATGGTGTTATGAGTATGTATAGATGATGTATATGGTGTTATGAGTATGTGTAGATGATGTATATGGTGTTGTGTATATATAGACGATGTGTATGGTGTTATGAGTATGTATAGATGATGTATATGGTGTTATGAGTATGTATAGATGTATATGGTGTTATGAGTATGTATAGATGATGTGTACGGTGTTATGAGTATGTATAGATGATGTATACGGGATTATATTAAGGTGACATAAGATGATAAACTGGTGACTTGTAGGTTTTGATTGTTTTTTGTCGTTATAATTAAGAGTATTGTGGGATTGGTACTTGAACTGTTTATACCTCCTCCTGTTTTCCGTTGCCATGGTTCGGGATGGGAACAATGATGGTGATGGTGGTGATTATGATAGTGATGGTGGTGATGGTAACGTTGTGGATGATGATTAATGGTGGTGGTGCCATTTATACACGATAATTTCCTGGTAGTTCCTCAGATAATATTTACAACACGTCTCGCCTCTCTCGGTTACATATCACTGAAGAATGACAATACAGGTGATCTAGGAGCCTCTGTACACCTGTTGGTAATTGATCAATACAGGTGTTCTTTGTTATACCTATACATTGTTATGGTCTGTTCTTCTTGTTGTAAAATATCGGGACTGTAGACCACTACTAATAATGACTTTGATATAAGTTAAGTTTATTGACCAAAGTTAACATTATTGACCAAAGTTAACATTATTAACCCGAGTTATAGCAGGATTTTAAAGATTTTTCGACGTCAAGGTAATGCGATTTCTCGTCATAGTGTGATGTGTTGAGGAGGAGGAGGAGGAGGAGTTTTCGAGTCGTGACGGCCTTGGTGTGTGCGAGGTGTTCCTTAATTTGCCAGGAGCTTGTTTCACTCTCACGAATATACATATACGTACACACACACACAGCTGATTTTATATAGTTGAGGCAGGTAAAACCATTTCCTCGAGCACTCGTTAATGCCCTCGTGGAGTTATGTATTTCCACACCTCATTACTGAAGCGTGAGTTAAGGTTGTAATTTGGGCCTTTTTTTCGGTTTGTACGTAATGGAATTCCAACGTTTATTTTTGGTACAGACGGATATTTTTTATAGCGTTATGTTAAGTTAGGTATGTGTTGGGTTAGGTTAGGTCCAGTTAGCGTTAGGTTAGGTCCGGTCCGGTTAGCGTTAGGTTAGGTCCGGTTAGCGTTAGGTTAGGTCCGGTTAGCGTTAGGTTAGGTTAGATAGCATTATATTTAGTTAGCGTTAGGTTAAGTTGGGTTAGGTTAGTGTTGGTTGGTTAATCTTATTGTGAAATAAGTTGGGGCTAATTTTCTCGTCTCATTATTCTACTCGTTAACTACACACGTCTTGAGGGTAACTGCGTCTAAGGTATTAAATTAATAGTAAAATATTTTACAGTGAGAAACTATAGTCGTGTGGTTTTTTTCATGATTTTTCTTTGCTGTGATTTTGTTTTTTCTTGTGATTTTTCTACATTTATTTTTTTCTTGTCATTTTCCCTGTTGTAATTTTTCTTTTTTTTCTCTGTGATTATTTTATTTTCTTCAGTGTGAATTTTCTGTGATTTCGTTCCTGCGGGAGTGAACCGTAGCGTGAAACTGAAATAAACAAAGTACAGTAGTATGTCCGGGTTGGGTAAAACCACCGAGGTTGTTAAATACATTTTTATTTTTTTTATTTTTTACATGGGCAGACAGACAGCTATACGTGAGATGACACAAGTGACTGCAGGGTATAGAGTCAGAGCCAACCTTGACAACATACACCTGAGATGTCCACTAACTGTTGCCGCTGATGATAACATTCTCGCGGGGAAGGTAAACGGAGAAACCTTGTCGAATCTTAGAGGGTTTTTTTTTCGGAAGTCATTATTTATAGGTTTGTGTTATTCTACGTACTACGTTATGTAATTATTCCTAAATGAAGATATGGCAATGTTTTCTAGATGGCTAATTTAGGCTCCGGTAAAAGATATTTGAAATTGCACTTAGATTGTCATAAATAGGAAGTTTCTGTAGCAATTTGGTGGGTGATCTGAGAACCGAACCTAATTCTCTACATGAGGTTGTGAGGGGCATGGTGAAGGGGTGATATCTCCTCGCCCTCACGTAGAGAAGTGGTCAACTGACTTTTTTCCCTCGTTAAATGACGACTGTCGAGGAACATGAAAGATCGACCGACATATCACGTCCCACCAACCCTGCCATCATCGTCGCTCTAATCGCTGACTCCTCTCTCTCTCTCTCTCTCTCTCGCGGCTATTGTATTTCAACACTGAATCTTCATTGTGGAAACTGTACTGTTTCTTTAACTTCATCACGCTCCTTATTAATGCGCCATAGATAGTGTGGTGTACTGTACATATACTCCATTGTGAGGTCTTGAATTTCTGGACAGTCACCACTCACGCAATAAATCGCCGTTGATAACAGCCAAACACAGACCTAATACACAAATGGATAGGAGGCGGCAATAGTAAATCAAATCGTAGAAGTAAAAAAGAATATTGAAGCATTGTGAAGGATAGCATGTCTACCCTTTGAATGCTCTCCGTTGATGCACGTCTGAGATACTGTACATAGTCGCTGACGAAGAAAAAGACGAAGCCTCATACCGCTACGCTCCGCCCTGGGACTAAAGCACCGTTAAGAGCTATAATGCAGGTTGAAAGAATGCAATAAACATATTCGTAGGTTATTTCTTTTGCTCGTTGTTTCTTACTTCACATACACACAAAAAGGGACGATGAATTCAGCCAGGTCTTCACATTTTCTTAGACAAAATAGCATAGAAAATGGATAAAGTCGAAGGCCATTGCTATATTGATCTTAAATTTCACAAAACCCTCAATAAAGCAGAAAAAAACGATGATTAACGTAATGCTAAAACTCGCAGGACGTTTTAAATAACATATTATGAAGGTAATCAAGGAAATACCTTTACCTACGGTATATAGGACTACACCTGCTGATAAATATTTTCTGCAAAATGTCAAGGCTACATTGTGGTTGAGAATTTCGTGTTGCTCAACAGAAAATAAAACTTACTTGTCGAACATCATAAATAAGGTCATGCACATCACGCCCAGCTGATGTGACACAACAACACCCACCATTATATGCCGATCAGAATCCTCGACTTAACCGAATTCATATATATTTTAATCTTAGCCTGATATAAAATGTACAATATTTACAGTGATATTTGACAGCTGAAATTTCTGAGAGGTACAGTATACCTCTCCAGAACAGGAACGGTATAAAACATAAATATTGAAGTGTTTAAACAAATGCGGTATTTTTCTTCCTGTAGATAGCTAAATAAGTAGATTATATGGATAGGTAGATAGATAAGTACATGGGTAGATTGAGAAGTACAGTATATGGTAGACAGCTAGAGATATTGATAAGTAGATAAGTGTATGTCCTGATAGATACAAATTGCCAGTCCACTGTGACGTTATCCCAATTGTGTGTGTGAGTACTCATTAAAACGTACCATACAAACCTATCAGAGTAGAAAACATTGTGAGGTTAGGTCAGGTCAGGTTAGGTTAGGTTAGCTCTCTTGTCCATCGTCACTAGCGCCCCCAGATATCACATTCTTGCTATATTTAGGTGTTAGTATTCAACCGAGTAAAGTTAATATTGTTCCCGGGAAAAAATAATAAATTCCTGATTAGGCTCCATTTCAAAACCGACAGCAGCGGCCCTCCTCTCTCTCTGTCTGTTGCAATCGAAACTGGTGCAGCTCACAGTCTGGATGGCGTTGAAATCTCGAGAAAATAAGTTTTAAGTTGATTTGTTTTCCAGCACCACCGCCATGCTCATTAAATTATCAAGTAACCTCATATTCTGCCTTCATTATGTTACGCCCCGCTCTTGACATTAGAAAATAAGTGATGTACAGTTTTTTTTATCATTATTACAACTACTACTTTTCACCGTCTCTCGTCTCTGTTCGTTTCGAGAGTTCAGTTAGCAAGTCATGCGTCAGTTATCAGGGTTTTTTTTCTGGAAGATTGAGTTTATATCCACCTAATGTGATGATGAGTAAATAATTTGTAGTAGCGTGGTGCGGGCGTCGATAATAATGCCAGCCTTGTCAACACCAGCTCACGGTCCCAACAAGCAGTATAAACGTGAGGTTAATGTACAGTGGCTACATAATTTAGGTCATCTGATTGTAATTTAAGCAAGTTCGTGTGTGTGTGGGTGTTTGTCTGTGTGTGTGTGTGTAATTTCTTTAACAAATTGTAAAAGATTCGTACCTTAAATTATAATGTGAGTAATGTGGAAATTTAACTTATCATCGTATTAGAGTCTTGCATTGTTTTGCTGATATAATTTGTTGCTTGACTTAATTTTTAATGGTACTGCATATCGATGTTTTTTTTTGGGGGATAAAATGGAATTTGAAGGAATTTAGGAAACTCGGAGGGAGGGAGGGAGGTGGTGTTACCCAAGGTAGGTATCTACCTACCTTGGTGTTACCTGCCAATCGTCATTCATTAATTTGCCGCTGCCAGACCTGCGAGTTTGGGACTGGCGACTCAGACGAAAGTCACGAGACTGCCTGCTGTCACTTGCCAGTGTTGTTCAGGAGGTCGGTGAGTGAGGACGCGCCGCACTACGCTCCGGGAACCTTGACTGGGCCAGCCATTGGTTATACACAAGTGTAATTGAATACTGATGATATATACTGTGAACTTTAGAAAAATTTTCACGTAACATTGCAGCTATATATTATATAGTGCTGGTGAATTTTAGCCTGGATGATAATTTGCCACTTAATGTTGTATGGTGTTGAAGAACAGTAGCCTGAGTATAGTAGTGTGAGGGAGATCTGGGTGTGTTAACTACTGACGGTGTGAGGGTCGTGATGGGCGTGAACGGGGGCGGAGGGTCGCTGAGGGACGTGCTGCTGGTTGGAGGGGGAGGGCGTGGCACCAGCAGCCGTGGCACCACCCAGGGCACGGGCTTAACCTGGCGCTCCCTGCGCTCCGTGTCTGGCACCGTGGACGCTGTGGATCCCCGCGGACATTTCTTCCCGGCCAAGCTGGCACTGTCCCTGGCCTTGCTGAAGCTGGTGTTGGCAATATTCATTGTGTCACTAGGGGCTGTAGCACTTATTCTCCATGCTGCGTTATCTACATTGGGCGTGGGGCTGTGGGCAGGGGCAGTGGTGGGCCTGTCTGGATTCTTAGGGATATGTGCCTCCCGCCGCCCTTACGCCCACGTCTACGTCGTGAGCTTCATGTGCGTTGCCATCCTCTCAATGGCATCGTCAGGGCTTCTCATCATCCTGTCAGCGACTGCCTGGGCCCGTGACAACCAGCACCCAACTGCAGTGTTCGTCGAGGAGGTTAGTACCAGCCTTAGTTTATAAAGTGGATGGTACCGTTTCTTCACTGTACAGTATTACTAAATGTACCATGTAGAAAAAAGTGTAGGACATAAAACAATACACAATATACACTTTGAATTACCTCACGACGCCTGCACTGTTGACATATATACTGTTGTGGCGGCTCCGAGTCGACAGTACAAAACCATTTATTGAGTGCAGATGACAGAACCGAAGCTAATCAACCAAATCTAATCTAACAAAAGATATTATTTACAACAGGAAGACCACTGGCAGTTGTGGATAAATCACAAGTCTGCGGAATTAAAAACAAATAGACAACGTTTCACCTTTTTGAAATTTGTTCGCAGGAAACTTGCCTACCTGTATCACCAACCTTGTGTTCATTGCAGTTGTCGAGGTGGAAGTTTGCGAGTCGACATGAGGCTTAAGACGAGAGGAAGTTAATCTCTCACATTATTTACTTTTTCATGTTGGAGAAGTTCGGTGATATTTCCTTTTCATTGTTTTGTGTTGGTTAGCTTCCCTCGTTACTTCATAAGGTTGATACAGTATCGTCGTCATTTGCGTTCGGTGGAATTTTTTCACAGCTCTGGGAAGTCGGGGCAGTATCAGACGGTAACCTTTTTATGTATAACAAAGGCAAAGTATTTTTCAGAATGTAATAGCCTATGACAAAACAGAGGTCTTATTGTTTACCCTTTTCTATCCATCTACTGTATGTCCATGGTGAAAAATATGAATTTGTATAACGCAGACCGTATTCGTTCACTCGTTATGGTACAACGAGCTAACCAATCGCATTAAAGGTACAACAATATTATCCTTGGTGTAAAGAGCGCCAAGGACAGTCACGTTAGATAAACAAGTTAAATATTTGGTTTGTATCTTGTAAATGGCTGATGGTTACGTGATGTGTCCAGGCGCTACACACCCACCACTTATCTATTGCCTTGTGTTTTATTGGAACAAGAAGAAAAACTAAGAGTATCATTTGCAGTTTATATTTGTTTTGGATCAGCCTGAGCACGTATCCAACACGACATCCGTGCCTGGTGTGTTTAATGTAGTAACAGCCACTGGACTCCTGCTCGTGTAACCTCGACGTGAGTGAACGCATGCATACTCCCGGGCGCTAGTGTGAAGATTGATTTCCACGGATCAGAGAGGTTTCTTAAATGTCACGACTTTCGCGAATTTCGTTCGATTTTTCGCTTAAATCGGGATTAAGAAACTACCCTTTTCTTTGCTGTGTATTGTACACCATCTTTCTTTCAGTAAACTTAAAGTAACTAACAAAAGTTTCTTATAGAACACTTTTATTTATTTTTTTGTTAATGTCAAAAGGTATCCCAATGAAGATTAGCGACCCCAAAGTGTCCACCTGCAGATTTGGCACCCCAGCCTAATCCAGCTGACCTTTAAGTACCCAGAGCTACTGTACCCGGGGTCCCTAATCTTCAAGCTTAGTGATCCCTTAAGTTACACGTTATAAGTATTGGATCACTGTCAGTTAACTTTACAGATTATCTCTTATTTATGTTCTGAGTTTATGCACCCCAGCTGTACGTACCAGTCCAGGGGTGACTACTCCTCATGAGATCCACCAAATGTTTTGTCGTAGTCCGTGAAAATATTTTGTCTAAAGAAAGAAAGGGACTGTATAGGTACATTTTTGTCTGTTCTTACTGACGCCTGCCATAGTGTGTGCTGTAACTGTTGGCTTAAAAGTGTATTACTCCTAAATGTAAATAAAGTATGTTAGTTGTAGTTTGTCTCTGTAACTTGTTGGCAGTCACTGGCGCAGGGAATGGCACGCTTGTGTCGACGGTTATCATGACTGACTGGTGGTGGTAGTAGCGCTGTTGCAGATTGAAAAGGATAACTAATAATCTTTATTTTGAAAACTATCATAATTAAATCAACATCAGCTCTCAAACATACGTCTATTTTGATGATCGGGAGAGGGTGGGGGGTGTTGGTGTTCTCGTCGACCCGTGTGTCTGAGGCGGCGCGCGTTTCCTGCGTTTAGGAGTAACGGGGAACGTGTGTCGTGGCGTTTAGTTTTGTTGGTCACTGCTGTACTCTTTTGCCTTGTCTATTTTAGGGCTTGTTGCTACTGTTATTGTGAATTTAAGGTGATTTGGGAACTTTTTAGGATATAACGTTTCTGTGGTAATTTTTTTTGGGGGTGGGGAGGGCGGTGACAGAATCAAATGAGAAACTCGTGTCATAATAAACAAAGATGGCGTCTGATTTTTCTGCTTGGTGTTGACCCGGTGGTAGTGAGGAGAGCAGAACATGATATAGTGAGGGAAGAGAGGGAGAGGAGAGGGGAGATGAGAGTAGATCGATAAAAGATAATAAAGTGAAAGGGAGAGAAGAGTGTGGGGTAAGGGGAGTAGATACTGTAGGTCACTTGATCCTGTGGTAAAAATTACACATGTATTTACAGGTGATAAACTCTCTTGATTCACCAGGTAAATGTTAGGTACCCAGACGAGTAGGTAATTGCCTAGGCTGGTGACCTATTCAGGGAGAGGGTAGAGTGGGAAGTGAAAGGGGGGTTGGGGAGATGATGTGAGGAGAGGCAGACAGACGGACGGGGTGGACATCCTAATGAGACAGAAGGGTAGACGGGCGAGCAGAAACACAGTTAACAGACAGACAGACATAAATACAGACGGGTAGATAGCTGGATGGATGGCTTGGTAGAGAGGAGTGGAGGGGTCGAGTTGTAGGGAAGGAGGAAAAACAAGAAGTATTGCAGGAAGAGGTGAGGGTGGGCGTGTGTGTGTGCGGGTCAGTGTATCGCCGGGACCTGACCCACTTCCTGAGTCGCCAGGTCGCGGCGGCTGACTCGGGTTACCTGCAGCTGAGGTGGACTGGCTCGGTGACTTGTAAAACCTAGTGTGGTCTTGTTCTCTCTCCACCTCCACTCTCAACATCCGTCACTCACAACCTCTTCCATCCACCTTCTCCCTCCCCTCTCCCCCTCTCCTCTCCCCCTTCCCTCTCTCCTCTCCCCCTTCCCTCTCTCCCCCTTCCCTCTCTCCCCTCCCTCTCCCCCTCTCCCCTTCCCCTCTCCAGCCCCTCACGTAGACATAACTTTTTTCTGTGGGCTACACGTGACCTGTTTGCCACCTGTTCAAGAGGCATGATGATACCTGGTAGGGAAGGGGGTATCGTACCTGGTATAGGAAGGGGGGTACCAAGTTGGGAATGGGAGGAGTTTATTTTAAGAAGGTACCGGTTGTATAGAGTACCTAACATAGCGGTACTTGGTATGAAGAAAAGTACCAGGTGTATTTTAAGAAGTGAGAAGTAAGGTCAGCTGTTTATTGTTTAGTTACGTCAATCAGCTGGTCATTAATCAGCTGTTTATTGTTTATTTACGTCAATCAGCTGTTTATTGTTTATTTACGTCAATCAGCTGTTTTATGTTTATGTCAATCAGCTATTTATTGTTTTTTTACGTCAATCAGCTGTTTATTGTTTATTTACGTCAATCAGCTGTTTTATGTTTATGTCAATCAGCTGTTTATTCTTTATTTACGTCAATCAGCTGTTTTATGTTTGTCATTCAGCTGTTTATTGCATATTTACCTCATTCATTCTCTCCTTATATTCCCACGTAAACAAAACTCAACGAAAGGGATCATATATATAAATAGAGTTTACCATCAGTGCATTAACTCTACGTGATTTGAAAACTTTGCTGTGGAGAAAATAGATGAATCCCGAAGAAAATCCCAGTAAAAAAAAATAATGACCATTGTGTTCAATTCGCCACTGAGGTCGATGTCCTGTTCAAATAACGAGGTTTTATTGTGTAATGTATAATGAGTAATGAGACTTTATTGTGTAGTGTATGATGTATAATGAGGTTTTCTTCAGCAATTGTGGATACGACATCTGTTCTGGATTTCACCAATAGTAATGCAGGATTTAGTGAACTACAGTGAACCGAATTTTTAAAAGGTACAGAAATTTTTTTTTTTTTTTATCCTTCAACAGCCTCACTTAATCTCTTATTATGGCGACCAATATGGCATCGGAATTGCACTGAGACTCTTGTAATAAGGGAAAATACGTCACTTATTAATATTTCAGATTACGGAGACTTATTGTAACTTGTTCTAATGGACCCCAATTCTACTGTGTCCCAAGTTCTTCTAATGGGCCTCTAAGAATTCGGGTTCTGACTTACGACCACATAATTAACGTATGATTGTTAGAGGATCTCGACTTACGAAGCCGCTTACTACATTCCTGAGGGGGAAGTGTGGTGGGAGGGAGGGGATAATGTGACCCTTTTAACCACTCGGAAAATTTGAATGTACCGGAGAATAAGCTGATGTAGGGGGGAGGGAGGGGAGAAGGAGTTCAGTTTAGGAAGAGAGAAAGGCTAGAGATGAGGATAGTGAAGTTAAAAAGGAGAGGGAAGGATAGTAGGTGAAGCAAGGAGGATATTGAGGTAAGGAAGGAGGGGGGACGCTAGTCGAGCCTACTCTCAGGTAGGGTAATCACTCACCTGTCTTACCTTGAATACCTCTCATCCCCCCTCCATCTCCCTCCTTGCCCTCCACATTCCTTTCTTTTCTGTTGCTCCCCCCATCCCCCCTCCACCACTCTCTCTCTTCCTTTCTTTCTCCCCATCTTGGCCACATCCCTATTCTTCCCAACCCTCCCTTCCTTCCCCTTCACAGCCCACCGCCTCTTTCCTCCCTCTTCATACCCTTCATTCCTTTTCCATCCCATCCCTCTTCACACACACCCTTCCCTCCCCCTCCCATCCAATCCCTCTTCACGCACCTCCTCCTCCCCTCCAACAGGTCACCTTCACTGCCCTACACTGACTGGCACTCTTCACCCTTCAGGCTCCAGTCTCTATAATGTCCCTCTCACACACCCGACTATGTGACCCCCACACCCCTGGAAATGACGTGTTTGCGATGTGTTCTAATTTACTTACCTTAATAGCTTGTGGTTCATTG